GGGTTGTTGGGTTTGTTGCATTCTTAATTTGTGATGCTGGCTTTTCTTTTTGGCTCAGTTTGAAACATTTGAGCTTTCTCATTTAAGTAATGATCTGTTCATACCGGTTGGGTTATTGGGAGGGGGGGGTGATTCCCCAATTGGGAGGCACAGTCAGGAACCAGAGGTTATAAGGCTACAGGCAAAGGAAGGTCATGACCTTGTTTTTTCGGCCAAGAAGACAGCCATAATGAGATGTGATTTTCTCTCTTTAAAAAGGGCAGTTGTTTGCATGAAGGAATGCGGTAACGGGATTCAAAGGAAACATGCCGACCTAACGAGGATTAAGCCTAATTATTTGCCCTGGTTCTCCAAGAAGGAACAGGATGTAAGTTTTTGATAGGAAATGGTGCTGGAGCAAGGGGAGGGGGAGAAAACCAGAATGGGTCCCCTTCCTCCAAATTATGCATGGAATGTGGAATTTAAGAAGGCCATTGAAGGTCCCGCTCACTTCTAATCATCCTTATTAGAAGGCTCCTAATCTCTCTGCTTGGGAACATGGAAGTGATATTGGCGTTGGCTTAAATTAATTAATGACCGTAAAAACCATAATGGACGTTTATGGAACCAGGGGGCCCTTTGTTTAACAGAAGGCACCATTTCTGGAGAGTTGCATTTGCAACAGCCCTGGCGAGGTGGGGGAGATTGACATTGATTAAATTCATGAATGTTGGGAAGGGAGAGATGTAACGTATATGAATGGGAATCCTTTGAGAAGGCAGTTGGGTGGATGGGTCCCAATCTCTAATGCAGTGTTTCTCAAGCTTGGCCACTTGAAGATGGGTGGACTTCAACTCCCAGAACTCCCCAGCTACATTTAGGTAGGTAGAGCAAAGCAGGTGGGGACAGATTGTAGCCAACAATGAAAAGATGTTCTCCTGGATTACTTCTGCTTGGTCTCCTCCACCTGAGATGCCAGACATCTCGGCTTGGTTCACATGTGTGCATTTGCAACCCAAGGAAGCCATCATTGGCCTTGAGCGACCTAGAGAATACAGAACAACAGAGTTTTCTGTAGATACAGAGTTGGAAGGGACCTTGCTGGACTTCTAGTCCAACCCCCTGGTCAGGCAGGTCATCCCCTACCTTTCTGGACAAATAACTGTCCAGTCTCTTCTTAAAAACCTCCAGTGGTGGAGCACCCACAACCCCTGAAGGCAAGCCGTTCTACGGGTTAATTGCTCTGCCTGAAATTTCTCCTTAGTTCTAGGTTGAGTCTGTCCCTGATTAGTTTCCATCCGTTGCTTCTTGTTCAGATGCTTTGGAGAATAGGCTGAATCTGCAAGCATCGTGTGAATGTGGCCCCTTGAGCTGGTTGGATGTATTAGGCAAGACTCAAAAATGGATTAATTCAGAGATCAGATTAAGGTCCTTCTGCAAACAGCCTTGCATGGGATTTAGGAAAGTGGCAAATTTTACAATTAAGTTTCGAAAGAGGCTTCTTTATCCAGTAGACTTATCTAGATTTTAGCTAAGCCGTGGCTTCAGGATTAGCTTTACGTGATTTATAGAAGATTAGAGTCTCAGGCTGGCCTTTTCATCAGATAAGTTTCACGTTTATCTTGATTTATTAATTAGTTCTTTTCTTTCCCTTCTCTCTCTTCGCCTCTGTTGTTTAAACCTAATGATTATTCTGTTTGGCGCCCTATTATGATCTACGATTACAGCCATAAATCTCACTGGAGTTTTGTTTTGGCTTCTTCCATGGAAGGAGAAAAATTCACAAGTTATTTACAGGCAGTTGTGTTTGGTAGGCTGGACTTCTGGGGTTGTAAAACAAGGATTTGGAAAGAGAAACGGAAGCGGGACTATGTAAAGAGGCAGCTTTCTTTCTCTTACTTCTTTCTTTCATTTCCAGAACAGAATTAACTTTTCTAATGTAACTTTTGGCTCTAGTGCACAAGGCATAAATCTTCTCCTTTTTCAGTGTCTAGCATTCTTTCCATCGTAAATCCACAAGGCTTAATTTGTCCGTAAGTAAAATGGCGTGGGGGATGTGGAGAAGTAATTTTAAAAAATAAAATCCCACCAATCTTGGGTTGTGCAAGGTATTTTAAGTTCGTACCGCAGGAATAACTAAAATGTCTGGCTTTGCAAGGAGCAGCTGAGCAAGCCCACACAGAAAAAGCTCCTCTCAACATCTCCGTCTCTGGAGAGGATGTATGTAAGTTCATCCTAGGAGCTTTTTGGACGTCAATCATTTTTGCTAGAATGGAGTCCAGCATTTTGTGGCATTGTAAAATTTATTAATTGCCACAATCCTCTTTTCTTTGCGTAGGAGGGGTTGCTGTTGTGGGGGGAAGCGGAAGGAAGGTTTGCTGTGCAGCTACCCCTCACACTGTTGGTTGAAAGGCAGGATGCAAATCCCATAAAATAAAATTGTGGTTGCACAATCAATAATAGAGCAGGTCATCTTTCTGCGTCATCTTCTCTTGTTTGAATGTGACCCGATGGCTGGGGATTAGGCTGTGGTGGTCACTCCTAGCTGGGTCCATCTTGTGCTAGTCATCGGTGGCCACTGACCGTTTTTGCTCCAGGTGACCAAGGAGAGACTTTTTTTATGCCCTTATTTTCCTGGTTTGTTGTGTTTCAGATGCTTTTTTGGTCTTTCTCTGTTGAGCAGATTCCCTTTCCTCAGCAGCATGTTAATTAGCAGTGATAAGAGGAACCTTAATCTCTCTTGATAAGGAGACCAGGGCAAGTTGAGTGTGAAATTGGATTAGCCTCGGATTCTTTTGATGGCTGATTTTCGGGGAAGTCGTAAACCATTAAGCGAGGACAATGCCTGCCGTTGTCTCCAGGAGCCAAAAGCTGACCAAGTACTTCCGAAGAGGAAGGATGACGGAAGAACCAAGGCAGGGTGGAGCTGCTGAGCTCAGCCGGATTTGGCCAGCGGTGGTCATTGTGACCTTGTCAGCCACTTCTGTTCTTAAGGCTGATGAACGTTGTGTGTTGAAGCTTCCATGAACTCAGGGAAGGAAGGTAAACGATGAGGGTGAATGATCCTCCCTGCAGATAATTTTTGAAAATTAAGACATTTTCTATCAAGGTCTGTGTGTGTGAGAAGGGTGGACGCTCCTTTGGGTCAAAGCTGTTCATAAGACATCTTTGCCTGTGGTTTATTTTCTGAGCTAACACCACACACTGAACTGTAAACCAAGTATCTGGGCTTGGTTTCCAGAACATGCTTGGCTAAATCAGGATTGTGGTTTAGGCTGTTGGTGACTTGTTGGGCTGTACAGATAAGGCCGCAGTGGCAGCCTCAGAAAAAACGAAAAGAAGTGGCTGAACAGGCAGAAAAAAACTCAAGAGGTATTTCTGGGCTGGCCAGCTGAAGTCCTCCATTAGATCCTTAAAGAAATCAATAATAATGTATTTTGTCTTAACTTTAGGAGGTCCCATAAATGGAAAGTGTCTTGCACGGCCTGGAGGGATTCAGTTGTACCCAGGGGAACATCCAGAGCTGGGGTCTTGTGCCGTTGAGATGTGCACACTGTGCCCTGGGTTGCCCCTGGCTGTATACTCCCACGTTGCACAGCAGCTTTTCCTCTGTTTTAGGATCTCTTGATTCATGGTGGGGAAGAGCGTGTTCTCCATCCATGGGCCAGCCCAGGGCAGGGAGAATGTTGGGGTTCCTTGGCACGGTATTTTCAGGCATGGCATTGACCCAGCAGGCTAAGGCTAGGAGGGTTGGGTAGAGACTTGCTCAAGAGGCATAAAGAGTCACACGGAGTGGGAAGGGGAAGAAACTTGCGCTGCTCACTTTACGTTTTGAAAATGGTAAAACCACTTCTTGTCAGTGCGCAAATAACCAGGAACATGAGTTGAGTTCAAAGCCCAGAAGAGTTTATTATTGCTATTTAAACACAAGAATCTAGTCAACTAATAGTCAAAGCTAAATTGGGGCTAGATAAGGGTCAACAAGGAGGGTTCAACTTGGGTCTCTTGTGGCAACGCAAGGACTCTAAACTGATGACACATTTAACTCCACCTTCCAGCTCAGCCTGTTCTTCTCCTACACTTCTATTCAATTTGATTGAATCTGGAGGTTGTGTTACTGAATGGGGCTGCTTCTAAACACAAGCCCTGTGCAAACAAGGGGTACCCAAAAGGTGAAGCGGTCCACAGTGGTTCTTTGTCCTTTGCCCATAAAATTTCAAATGGAGAAAGAGCAAACAGGAAAGCTGGGCCAAACCAGGCATGACGATCGCCCGTGACTCAGCCTGCAATTTTTGGTCTGAGACATGGATTTAAGCATGGATTTACTGGGCTGAAAAAGATGACTCTGATCGGAAAACATGTTGAAATGGTTAGGGGCTGGGTTCAAACAAAGATCACAAGAAGCTTGAATCTTTACGCCAATGGGTCTGGGCTGGGTTGTTCTCTTGCAAGGGCCATGCTGTTGTATATTGAAGTTGTGTGAAAGCTGTTTAGAGCCGTGGCAAGCTTGGTATAGTGGCTGCCAACCAAGCCATGAATCCTAGTTTAGTGCCATGCAAAACGCAGTCACCATTTCGCTGGTTCCTGCACATTGTGGAAGTGAGTTTGCACATCTGTTAACCTCTCTCTGAGGTCATGAACACAAGGATGAAACAAAGGTCTTCTCTGCCCCCCCCCCATTTTGGATGCTTGTGGTTTTAAGAAGATTGCTGAAGACAGATTTGTTTTATCGGGCCTTTAACTCAGCCTCTGTCTGGTTGATTTATGACGAGTCTTGGTTTTTGTTTTTGTTTATTCCTAACCCTTGCTTTTAGAAGACTTGCTTCTGGTAATCCACCCTGAATGGCGTTACAAGAGGTTGGGCAGGTTCTAAAAACCATAAAACTGAAGAGATGCCCTTACGAAATGCTTACCAGGAACTTGCTTTCTGTGGATTGGCACGGCTCAGCTTCCAGGGGGTTGGCATGGGCATGGGTGCCTGGGCTCAAGTTCTCCCTTTGATGTGTTTTTAGGTGATCACTTGAAAGTTTGCCCTCAAGGGTACACCTGCTGTTCCCAAGCCATGGAGGAGAAGTACTGGCAGCAGAGCAGACAAGATTTCAGCCATGCTGTTGTCGAGCTGAGCAACAATTTGCAAGGGACCTTCAGTTCGCGATACAAAAAGTTTGACGGTGAGTCTCTGCTCTGGGCGACTTCTGAATCAAGATTCATGTGTTGGAGGCTTGTTCACATAGGGCTAGTTTGGGTCATCTTCCCTCTCCTCTCCTCCCTTCCCTTCCTCCTCTCCTCCCTTCCCTTCCTCCTCTCCTCCCTTCCCTTCCTCCTTCTCCCTCTCCTCCCTTCCCTTCCTCCTTCTCTTCTCTTCTCTTACTTGGCAAACGCATTCCGTAGATGCCCTGATGGAGTCTCTTTGAGTGGCCCACGTAGGGAACGCAACCACATTTCCACTCTGGTTCCTAAATACCTGCATAAAATCTGGAGCCTGATTTTCACTCTGCTGCTTCCATAAACCCTGTGACCCATTCAAGTCTAAATCTGATGGTTCCGGAGTATTGTGGTTCCTGGGTTGCCGTGAGGATCAGAAACCAAGGCGCAGGTGGGTCCGAAGGGAGTTTATTCCCCCCTTTTTTGTGGGGAAATGCTGGTTTCCAGCTCTTCCATTCATGACATAACTTTAGCCTCAGCAACCTTTCAGCCAGTGGAAAGGGCAGCAAATGACTTTATTTCTTTCATGGCTTTTGCAAGGAGGCCTTAAACCAACACGGCTCCTCAAAGGTCAGGCGTCTCAGAATCTGTTTTGAGTGTGTGGTTTTCACAGAATTAAAAGATGCAGGTTTCTGCTTTTGTGGCTTCTCCGCTGTTAGCTGTTATTCTTTGTGCAGTTGTGACACAGGCACAGGCAGTCTGGAAAAGGGACAGAGTGAAATCTGACACCGAGAGGCGAGCAAAGAAGAGCGGAGGGGGGCAGGAACAAAGAAGGGACGGTGGGCATTTCCTTCTGTGGCTCCTGATCAGATCGCCATGGAGAAAAGCTATCAATCTGGTCACCAGGAGTAAAAAAAGGAAGACTTGAAGCCCCCCTCATCCCCCCCATCATCATTAGTTGGATTTGGGCAGCAGGATGGGATTGCTAAAAGCCAGATTGGCCCCCAGGAAGCAGAAGATAGCTCCGAGGAAGCATCCCCCCCCCCTCAATCTGACCTTTCTCGGGGCAGAGACATGAGGGCCAGCCAGCCAAGGGCTGGAGGTTCCCCTTCCCTGCAGGAGGCAAAAGGGGGGCTTGCCGGGAATACAGAACAAAAGGGTTGGAAGGGACCTTGGAGGTCTTCTAGTCCCATCCCCCTGCTTGAGCAGGAGACCCGATACCGTCCTGGACAAATGGCTGTCCAATCTCTTCTTGAAGATCTCCAGGGATGGAGCAGCCACAGCTTCTGGAGGCCAGCCGTTCCCCTGGCAATGATTCTTCTCATTGCCAGGAAATTCCTCCTCAGTTCTAGGTTGCTTCTCTCCTTGCTTAGTTTTCACCCATTGTTTCTTCTCCTGCCTTCAGGTGCTGCTTTGGAAAATAGGTGGACCTCCTCAGACCTGGAAAGACTGCTACCAGGCCTCCCCTATCCCCTCTCTTCTTTAGGCTAGAACCATTCACCAAAGGCTTTAGCCTGCAGATTCCCAGTCCTTCTGTAGAGTCTCGACCTCTTTCTGGTATCGGTGGGAGCCAATTCCGGGAGGGAAGGGAGGCATCGGGGCTGGGAGGCAGGAACTGTTTACTGGCGCTCGGGCAGCCGTCCAACTAGGAATAACCGTTCAGGGCTGCCCTTGCCCTGGCCTGTCTCCCAGCTGCAGAAAAGCCGAGCAAATTGACATTTGGGGGGAAGATTTTTGCAAGGCAGACAGATGGCTGTGCAAATTCACCCGGGAGCACATTTTCTTGCCCCTCCCTCTCTAAAGCTTCTTTAATTACGAATGCAAACTCAGCTGGGCTTCCCTTCCCTCCTTCCCTTCCTTTTTTCTTTCTCTCTCGCTCTCGCTCTCTCTTTCTATTTTTCCTCTCTTTCCTGTGCCGATAAGTGCTAACAGATGGTTCTCCAAACCAAATGGCTCTCCGGAATCCCTAGGAAAGCTGCTGCTCCACTCTTCTGATCCCAGGGAAGACACAGAGAGGTGTCAGGAGACTCCCGGGGAGTCAGATTGCAGGGGACAATCTGTCCAGGGCAGAGAGGCTTTTGTCCGGCTCTTGTTCAGCTATGCAGCAAATGTTTAGGGCAAGGATGTCCAACCTGGGTAACTTAAAGATTTGTGGACTTCAGCTCCCAGACTGGCTGGCTGGGGAATTCTGGGAGTTGAAGTCCACAAATCTTCAAGTTGCCCAGGTTGGACACTCCTGGTTTAGAGAAAGAGTTGACCAGGATGAATTGACCATTGTGCTAGATAAAAACCAGAGGGACTTAAGTTCCCGTCTCCACACTCTGGATGGTTTTGGGACCCTCCCTGTCTCCCAGCCCCATCCTTCTCTCCCCAAATGGTTTCCGCTGAATCCCTGGGCAGACCGAAGACCCCATTTCTGAAGTCTGGAGAGGTGGAAGATTTAACAGGAAGGGCCCATCTGTTTTGATGTCCCCACCCAGCTCAAACCACCCCCCACCCCCCATTCTGGCATGTAGATGGCATATGCATCACAGTTCCGGCCACAGGTCCACCAAAATGGCACACAACTGAACTTCTGAATGTGCCCAGTCTTCTTTTCAGCACTTTGCCTGACCCATTTCTGCCCCACGCAAGGACTAGACACGTGTTTGTAGGAAATGACCTGGGTTAGTATTGGAGGATGTGGAAATCAGTTAAGGGGGATCTAGGACAACCAGCAGGGTCCCTCTTGATCTGAATTAGGGCATTGCAAGGAGAGACATCAAAGTTCTTCTCCCCTCCCCCCATGGGGTTTTTATCACTATTTAGAATTTCTTGTTCTTGTGTGTGGCTGAGATGAAACTTCATAAGCCTTCCACAGCCAAGCTCACCATTATTTAAGGGTTCCTGCATTGTAATCCTTGGCAGATGGGGCCACTTGGAGAAAATAAGCAGAATAACAGATCTGGAGGGTCCAAACCCCTTCTCAGGCAGGAGACCCTATGCCATTTCAGACAAACGGTTGTCCAATCTCTCCTTAAAAACCTCCAGTGATGGAGCACCCACAATTTCTGGAGGCCACTTCCACTGGTTAATTGTCTCAACTGTCAGGAAATTCTCCTTAGTTCCAGGTTGCTTCTCTCCTTGATTAGTTTCCATCCGTTGCTTCTTGTCCTGCCTTCAGGTGCTTTGGAGAATAGGATAATAATAATAATAATAATAATAATAATAAATATGATAAATGTAGCAAAAGGGCCATTTTCTGCCCCAAACCCTGCCCCACACACTCACATACGCACACACACACACAATTCCCCACGGCCTTGTCCATGTCCATCAGCACAATTTCATTCTAAGCCAAATGGAGCAACAGCTCTCTGGCTATTAATAGTGTGGAGCCTTCCTAAGGACCCCCCCCCCCCTTTGAGCTTCTGCAGTTGGGTTTGACTGGCTTACCCTGCTCATTGAGAATTTCAAGGCAACACTCCTCCCCCCCCACTGTAAAACACACACTTTTACAATGCTGTAAAACAAGAAAGTAATCTCTAAACGTCCAGCTTGTGTTTGAGAACAAGTCCTGCTCCCAAGACAAACAAAAGGTGTTAATTCATTTTGTCCTTCAAACTGTCAAGATAGCAGCTTGCCCACCCACCATTCTTTCTTCTCCCCCCTTTCAACGTTGTAGGGGTTATTCCTAGGCCACCTTGAGGCTCATTAATCAGCATCAATCTGCCTTCTTCAAGGGGGAAAATTAATACTTAACCAGGATAACCTTCAGAGCAAATTCTCACCTGGGCTAGTAGCTACTTACCCCCTACCACTGGCCTCCTTGGTGAACTGCTCTCCAACTGGGGGGGTTGGGCTGGCTCTTGGGATGATGGCTTATTCAACCCCAAATCTTAGTTTTGCTGCAGAAATGGGGTGGCCTAGATTGCAGGATGCTCAGCCGTGCTCTGACACACCCAGGGCCTTCCCAACCGACCTGCGGTTTATTAGCAATAAAGAGAATTTAGAACAATTAATCAGGGGAAGGGTTTGCCTCCAGAAATTGTGGGTGCTCCATTACTGGGGGGAGAGACTAGATTGCTATTTGTCCAGAACAGTGGGAGGTAATTGTGTGCAAAATTTAAGATTTGTGGACTTCAACTTGGCTGCGAAGTCCACAAAGTCTTAAAGTTCCAAAGTTGGCACTCCGGGTCTAGGGTCTCCGGCTTAAGCAGGGGGTTGAGCTAGAGGACCTCCAAGGTCCCTTCCAATTCTGTTATTCTGTCTATCCAAAAAAAAACTGGCCACTCAGCGGGACCCGGGTGCCTGGTCTCTGAATTCAGGAGGGATATTTTCAGAGCCAGTGTGATCCGGAGGCTTTTTCTCCTCCAGGTAAGCAGCGTCCAAAGAGGAAACTGATCCGGTCTTTGGATTCAAAGGTCAGGAAGGCAGAGGGGTGGGGGGTGGGGGGGAGAGAGGAAGCGAGCCTTCAACATGATTAAGTGAATTAGAAATTAATACCTCCCACCCTTTGCAGGTTTGTAACCGAGAGGAAAGCAGGAGGGAATCGCAGGCAGGAAATGCCAGTCCTGGGAACGGGCAGATACCTTGGTGCTAACCCTGGCCAAGGGGTACTGGAGGGTGTGGGGAGGGGGGGTCACCATGCAGACAGGAGCCTTGTGTCTTGAGGGTCTGTTTTGCTTCTGCTCTTCTTTGGTTGGCCAAGTCCATCCCAAGAGCCCACGGCCACATTCAAAAGCAGCCTTCTTGTGGATGTATTTTAAAAGTCCCCCTCCCGTTTTTTTTCTCCCCCCCCCCTCTCCAAAATGTCCTGAGTCAGACTTTGTTTGTGCTGGAGCCCTTTGAAGATTTTGAAAGTTTGATTTCCAACCGACTGCAGCCTGTCTTTAAACAAGGTTTAAATTCAGAGGGGGCCAAATATATTTTCCCTGGCTGCCCCCCCCTCTCTCCTTCCTCCAGTTTCTGACCACTTTTGAGTGGAAACACTGCCTCCTTTGAGGGTGCAGCACAGAGGCCTGTGTGATTCGAACATATTTGCCGGACCCGGGTCTGGAGAAGACACCCAGGGCTCTGGATGAAGCCTCCACCAACTTCTTGCAAGGAAGGGCTGGGCTTGCGGTGCGAAGTCCAAACTCCAGCCCTACGAATTCTCACCCTGTCCATTCATTCTCCACCCGATCCCTCCGCTCTCCCCAGTTTTGAGGGATATTAAATCATAAAACCCCATTCTGCGCAGGCTGGGTGAGAGATGGTAATCTTGCAAAGAACCTCTTTGGGAGAAGGCCAGCTGTTTCATGTTACAGACATCTGCCCCTTATTAGAAATTTCTTAGGTTATTACATGGCGGTATTAAATATTTCTTGTTGGGCTTTCTTCATATCTCTGAGGACCCCTCCCTGAACACAATCCTTGTGGTATTTTCTGGCCGCAGAGGGCCTCCTGCCCTTTCAACTCTCTCTTCTCCAGTCGCATTTTCCAGGTGTGGTGTGTGGAATACTCCCACAACCAATACTTGTATTGTCTCAACCGTCTGCCTGTGGCTGGTTGGTGTTTTTTTTTTGGGGGGGGGGGGAGTTCTCCAAGGCCATTGCGTGCCAACTCAGCAACTCTGTGATAGGTGGGACCATGGTTCCCATCCTTGCTGAACCCCTGGAAGATGATTGAGGTTCTGAAGTTGGACACTTCTTTGTGAAGACTTGGCGGCTGCATTCTGTACAGTACGGGTAGATTCAATCTTTTTTCCCCTGGGTTTGGATTCTATGTTGAGCCATGAACAGATCATATGACCTGGGTTCACGTAGCACAAAAAAGGTAATGGAGTTTGAAACAAAGCCAACCTAACCAATGTTGATTTGGTGATGGACATACCATCGATGTATCCAGATAAGGATCTGGATACATCGATGGTATGTCCATCACCAAATCAACATTGGTTAGGTTGGCTTTTGTCTTCACTGTTTTGATGCTATTTGGGGGTAAACTGATTTGGACCAAATGTTTCTCTAGATGTGACATAATAGGAATATATGTAAGGGGAATATGTAAGAAATGGGCTTACTGAGTTGGCTTTTTCTGTACCTAATTCAAAATATTCTCCCTTCTTGATTGAGTCTGAAATCTTTTGCTTATTGTCCTATTTCTAGTCAAAGAATAGAGAAGCTTCTGCATTTTGTAGGTAGGATTCCCGTCGCAGCCTCTGCAGGAGGGTCAAGAGGTCAAGACGGTGACTACCATCCTGTGGTCAGAGCCCCTGTCCCTTTTTTTAACATGTGCTGTATGTGCAAAACATTTTCAATCACACAATCATGGCTACCATCTTGACTTTTCAACCCAACCTGTGGACACCGCTGATTCCTTCCAAACATGGTGGAACTTTCTCCAGAATGTTACCTTAGATGTTGACACCCCCCCCCCAATTCCTCCCAGTCAATTTCTTCCTTCTCTTCCCCCAGAGTTTTTCAGAGAGCTCCTGGACAATGCCGAGAAATCCTTGAACGACATGTTTGTACGGACTTACGGCCTCCTGTACACGCAGAACTCGGAGATGTTCAAGGACCTCTTTGTGGAGCTGAAGCGATATTATGCGGGCGGGAGGGTCAACCTGGAAGAGATGCTGAATGACTTTTGGGCCCGTCTCCTGGAGCGCATGTTCCGCCTGGTCAACCCCCAGTATCACTTTTCGGATGAGTACCTGGAGTGCGTCAGCAAGTACACCGAGCAGTTGAAGCCCTTTGGAGACGTCCCACGAAAGCTGAAGCTGCAGGTGACCCGGGCTTTTGTGGCAGCCCGCACCTTTGCCCAGGGTCTGGCCGTGGCCAGGGATGCGGTGGCCAAAGTCTCTGCGGTGAGTGGGTGCTCTTGCTTCAGTGGTGGCCAACTTGCAGAAGGGGAGGGGTATCACCTTTTCATAGGGGGTGTCCCAGACAACTGATTGCACTGATTGCCCAACTTTGAAAATAAATCGTAGGGAGAACCCAAGAAGTCAAGATCACAGCTGCAATGTTGTGTCAAAACAGGACTTCAGTTGTGCAGTTGCCATTGTTATCTTGTAGGAAAGTAGGACAAAGAAGAATAAACATATCAGAAACTGTGTGAGAGAGAGGAGGAGGAGGAAGAGCATCCATCTATTGGGTCATCGACCCTCCCGTGTCTGGCCCCACTTGATGTCCATCTTCATGGAGAACCTCATGAGAAGCTTGAGAGCTGTAGACAAAGGTTCTAAACAAGGCGTTTGCTTGGCTTTGACAGACCAAATTTCACTTTTTCAATTAGTCCAAGCAGAGCTGTTTTCCTTCTGATAAATTAGTAAAAAAAGAGAGAGAGAAAGAGAAAGGTGATGATGACGAAAGAGCTCTGGATGATCTTCTGCTTTTATGTCTTCCTTGAGCCGGGCCCTTGCAAATCTTCCTTTGCCCTCCAGGGCACTCTTTAAATTCAGCCTAATTGATGGGAAGGGGCAGATTAAGGCATTTCAGTCTCAGCAAAGTCCCTGCTGCAAATTTGGGAGGCTGTTTTGCGGTCAGTGCGCACCCAACGCCCAAAAATATACATGCACATATTTTTGTACCTTTTGGAGTCTTTGGACTAGGAGGGCTTTTTCTTCAACATATTCTTTCATTTCCCCTTGGAAATCGCCAAAGCCGGTATGGGGATTTGTAATATTATTGAACCCCTGACAGGCATTAAAATCAACAGGTTTAAATTGCTGGGCAACAGGGAGATTTCCTGCCCAAACCTTGGGGCAATCTTACTATATATATTTAGAAGAGAAGAAAAGGGGGAGAAATATGACAGCCAGACCCTGCAGTGACTCATGGAAGAGAGAAACCTGATATTTTGCAACTCATAGACTAGAGAAAATTTCTCGGTAATGAAGACCATATGGCTAAATGTCATTCAAATTACGCTGGAGCCCAAAAAAAAAAAAAAAAAAGGAAAGGGGGGGATTTTTTTTGGCATGAAAAGATTCTGGCAGCAGCACCGGTCCACACCCCAATTAGAGATTAATCAAGGGTTGTTTTGAAAGGGGTCAAAAGTGGTCACTAACAGGGCAGGTGAACTTGATGGCATGGCCGCAGTCTCAAAGGTGACGAGATACCTGATGCCAGGACGTCCCAATCACTGCATGAGATCAGAGTGATGGAAAGATCCCCCCCCCCCCAAATGTTGGGCCAATCCAATTTACTTTCATGAAATTGCCCAATCTCCTGGTCTGGTTGCACCCAGGTTATTTTGTGATTTCTGATTGGATTGGGATCACCTAAGTTAAGGGTGTCCAACCTTGGCGACTTTAAGTCCTGTGGACGCCCAGAATTCTGGCTGGGAGGGTTCTGGAAATTAAAATCCACAGGTCTTAAAGTCAACAATTTGAGAAACCTTGCTCTAAATCAGGGGTCTTCAAACTTGGCCCTTTTATGACTTGTGGACTTCAACTCCCAGAATTCCTCAGCCAGCAAAGCTGGCTGAGGAATTCTGGGAGTTGAAGTCCACAAGTCATAAAAGGGCCAAGTTTGAAGACCCCTGCTCTAAATTAAGAAAAAGCCTTTGCAATTGGATGAGTGGCTGGGGAATTCTGGGAATTGAAGTTCACAGGTTTTAAAGTCACCAAGAATGATTAAATAGGAGAGGGAAAAGACCACAGGAAGGAAAACGGTGTGGGTTTTTGGCCCCATCACCTGCTGGAGGTTAAATCTTGTAATCCCTGCCTCTGTATAAAGTGAAGCTTGGCCGGGAAGCCTGTCATAATTTTGCAGAACAGGGCTCTGTGCTTTAAATGGCGGGATTCACCTTTACGCCAACCTCCTGAGTTTTGCTTTTGGTCCAGTTTATGCCCTCTTTTGTTCTTGACCATTGTTCTGTGTGGTTTTTGTGCAAACTGCCCAAGTCATCGGGCAGCGTAAAGGCCAAATTCGGTCACCCTCCCCACCATCTTGGAGAAATTAACAGAATGCAGTTCACAGATTTCTTACCCTTCTGTCTATAATTTTGAAAATTAAAAACGGGAACTCTCAGTGCTAAACTGCCTACGCACCATACACATACACACACACACACATGCGGTGAGAATGTATTAAAATAACCTGCGAAGTGTATTGTTGGCATCTCTTTCCGTCTTTCTGTGGCACGATTGAAATAATCATAGAGTCCTTTAACGTGGATGAGGGTCCCATCCATCTGCAGGCCTTCAGCAGGAGAAAGTGTGAGATGTTGACAACTCACGTGGAGATAGGTTGATGGTTGTGTGTGTTCAAATACCAAAGCGATCTCCTATCTACAGAGCTTGAAGTCTAGAATGGGGAAGGAGGCATCTTGATTTAAGTGGTTGATAACAGGACCATCTTCCTAAGGAAGTAGGATTACAGGGAATTCCATCAGCCAAGAAGGTGTCTGGGGTCTCTTCCTCTCCTTCCCCATCTGTTTTTTTTAAGGTTGTCAGTGGAGGTGGGCAGAATTGGGATCCAAACTGGACCAAGGTGCCAGGTCTCACCGGCAGCTCTGGGAGGCATCCATGCCTGCCTTTACTGCTAGTTATGGCCTTGTAGGTAGGGATTATGTTGTCCTCGTAGCCTCATAGAGAAATTTATAAGTCACAGTCAACAATGGTAACATGGTGGCTCTTCCTCGTTCTGCTGTCCCCTCCCTTCTCCCCAAAGGTCAACCCTACGCCCCAGGGGGTTCGCGCCCTGACCAAGATGATGTACTGCCCGTTCTGCCGAGGCTTCGTGGCCATCAAGCCCTGTTACAACTACTGCTTCAACGTCATGCGGGGCTGCCTGGCCAACCAAGGGGAGCTGGACACCGAGTGGAACAACTTCATAGGTGAGCAGAGCTGGGCCTGCTTTTTTTTTTCTTTCTTTTTTTAAATGATGGAACAAAAGCCCTCTTTTACGGGAGCACAAAGGTGGCCATTCAGACGGGAGACCGGTTGGCGTTCGCTTTTGCCCACTGCTGCAAAACTCGGTTTCTCTGGCAGGGAGGGGTTGGTAGAGAAGACACAGAGAAAACAGAATAGAAGGTGGGTGGGAATGGACTGGTTCTTCCCCCCCCCAAAAAGACATTTTCTCTCCCCCCCCCAACATCTTTTGGTTAAGATGTAAGTATCTTTTAGGGGAATGATTAGCAAGTGATCTGGGATGATCAGAGTAGTAATTTCTGAAGGAGGAGGAGGAGGAGGAGGAGGAGAAGAAGAAGAAGAAGAAGAAGAAGAAGAAGAAGAAGAAGAAGAAGAAGAAGAAGAAGAAGAAGAAGAAGAAGAAGAAGAAGAAGAAGAAGAAGAAGAAGAAGAGGAGAAGAAATGGATGCATGAGATCCTTCCTTCCTTCCTTCCTTCCTTCCTTCCTTCCTTCCTTCCTTCCTTCCTTCCCTTCTCCTTCCTCCCTCCCGCCCGCTTTTCATTTCTGGACCACTGGGGTCCTGGCTTTGCACCAGAGTGTGTGTGTGTGTGTGTATGTGTTGAGGAGGGCCTGGCCGGTGGGCCTTCTGAATGACTCGGTGACTGAGGCGCTGGTGCTTCACTGGCAGGAATGGAAGAACCTTCGTTCTTTGGTCTCCTGATTTCATAAGGTCCTGCTTTCCTTTTGGGGAGCTCTCCCATCCCGTCTTCTTTGAGGAGAACAACCCTTGGCTTGGCGCCCGTCCTCGCCTGTAGCAAGAAGACGCATGTCCTTCTTTTCTCCTCTGAGGAACTCAACGTCTGAATCGCCCAAAGTTCTGGAGGGCCCCCCCCCCCCGCCTTGGCTGAGAGCCTTTTTCCCGTGTGCCGATTCTTGACTGCTGCTTCTGCAAACAGGAAGACCTGAAACCCACTTTGAGTAAACAGTGCAGGGAAGGCAGATGGTCTTATTTATTTTAGATAATTTGTTCTGATTGTAACATTTCGGAGAAGGATGCAATTTGAAGAGGCTGGAATCTCTCCTGGGGAGACTTGGGGGGGGGACAGAATTAAAGAGGCCTGATCAGAAGTGGATGGTGTGGGGGAGCCGACAGCACGGGGGCCAGACTTTTAGCCTGGTTTCTGAAACCTTGGGGTGCCCGCCTAACACGACCCGTTGCTGTAGATTCACGTCCCCTTTTCGGCAGCCCAAGCTGGAGGACTGTTAATTGCAATTAATAAAGCGGGACTCAAAAATCTGTAAAGTTAATGCTTGTTTTTCTGCTCCAGAGTGTGAGGTAATGGAGAAGAGCAGCAAATAAACCAGATACATCATCTTTTTACAACATCGCCCAACATAATTTGGCCTGTGTTTAATTAATGAATGCAAAGGCCTGGCCAGGGCAGAGATCTGGGAGGGATTCGTATTGTTTGTCTGTCTGTCTGTCTGTGTGTGTGTGTGTGTGTGTGTGTGTGTGTGTGTGTGTGTGTGAGAGAGAGAGAGAGAGAGAGAGAGAGAGAGTAATGGCCTTGTTTATAAATGGGACTTGTATTTGGTGGACAGTGGAAGAAGCTAAGAAGGATGAGTTGGAGGGAGGCAGCAGGTGGTTTTGCTCTTGCCAAATTCTTGGACCTTCTCCAGAACTTCCTGAAGGCATGTTGGGGTGATCTACTGTATGTTGGTCCGCATAACTCCTGGAATTCCAGGTTTTTGAGATTTTGAGACCAGTGGGAACACTTAACTAACCGTGTCTGCTTGCCTCTGGTTTTCTCTGCCTAGATTCAATGCTAATGTTGGCCGAGAGGTTGGAAGGTCCCTTCAACATTGAGTCTGTCATGGACCCCATCGATGTGAAGATTTCAGATGCCATCATGAATATGCAAGAAAACAGCTTACAGGTGTCCCAAAAGGTACGTTGAGGATGTTCTGTTTAGGGAGGGGGAGGCAAGGAGAAAGAATGGTTAACCTGGGAGGAGTACTTCAGGAAAAAATCCTGGAAGAATTTCAGGTGGCTTCGTGGTTTGTGTCCTGTAGAATGTATTGTGAGGAAGTCCTCATCCTCACAAAAGTTTCTAACTACTTGGTGCTCCAAAACAGAAAAATCTCTATTGGTCAACGAATTGGGCCATGAAATGTAAATATTGAATATCAAAATTTGGCTAATCGCCATAGATGACCAAGGATTCCTCATAGGCAAGGAAGTGAGATGTCTCCAGCAATCTACCAGGGTGTTCAGGAATTAGGTCCAACACCTCTGAAGGACATTCAGGTTACAGAAGACTGACCTCCATCCTGCTGCTACCGTTGCTTCATGAAAGTCTGGGTGGGGAGAACCAGTTCACCAAAGATGTGGTGCTCTCCTGTGTCTTCCTTGGCCTAGGTCTTTCAAGGGTGTGGGCAACCCAAGATGCTGGCACAAAGCCGAACATCCCGCTCCGCTTCAGACAGCAGCTTCAGTGCCCGCTTTAGGCCTTACAACCCGGAGGAACGTCCCACAACAGCTGCAGGAACGAGTTTGGATCGACTGGTGAGTACAGAGCCCTGGATAATGGCCGTTGTGGCTCGGAAGGGCCTCAATAACACAATCAAACTCACTGATCAGGTTTTTGGGGAGAACGACAAGCCACGTGTTCTGCTTTGACCTCCCAAAGGAGGAGTAGGGCCCCCCTCCCCCAGTTACGAAGATTATTAAAATAGGTTGTTCTTGATGTTGCTTTATTTTAGATGGGTGGTCTCCAGGTCCAAGAATTCTGAACCGTAACCAGATCAGCTGGGCAATTTTAAGAATAGATGTCCTAAAACAGTGGTTCTCAACCTGTGGGTCGGGACCCCATTTGGGGTCGATCGACCATTTCATGGGGGTCGCCAAGCAAGGCTGTCCGCCATTTTTTTTGTCCGCCATTTTTTTTGTCCGCCATTTTTTCCCCCTTTTCCGGCGGGTCCCTTACCTCCCTTGGGCTGGGCCAGCTGGTGGTCGGCCTGCTCCATCTCTGCCGCTTGCCAGCTACGCCTCGGCCGGCGCAGGGGGCAGAACCACGCATGCGTGGCGCTCCCGGGCAGGGAAAGTCCTCGACTTACGACCGGTTGGGTAGTCCTCGACTTACGACCGGTTTAGTCCTCGACTTACAACCGGTTTAGTCCTTGACTTACGTCCGGTTGGGGTCACGGCATTAAAAAGGTTGAGAACCACTGTCCTAAAAGATAGCCCAGTAGGGGAAGGTCAATTGGTCAGTTGATTGATGAGATGCCACCCATCTCATGACAACAAAATAACAATAGTTAAATCACTTCCAGGAAATCACAAGAAAAAGTAGCCTTTGAGAATAAACCAGCCAGTGTTAAAATGGGTAAACTCAAGGCCTCCAAGACAGGATTTAAGGCCTTTATGAAAGGCTAGCAGGGCTGAGGCCGATGTAACCTCAGGAGATACGGCATTCCACAGAGAGCAGGCACTACTGCTCAAAAGTCTGGCTGGGGAATTCTGGGAGTTGAAGTCCACCCATCATAAAGAGGCTAAAGTTGAGAAACTGCTCTGGAGAACCTCAACCAGCCAAGCTAGCTGAGTCTGGCCGATGGGATAAGGCAACAGAGGGGGAGGTGGAATTGCACCAGGAGCCCCTCCGAGCTGGATTTTCTCTTGCTGAACCCCCAGGTGACCGATGTGAAGGAGAAACTGAAGCAGGCGAAGAAGTTCTGGTCTTCCCTTCCCAGCAACATCTGCGGCAATGAGAAAATGGCTGCCGGCAACGTCCACGAAGAAGAATGCTGGAATGGAAAGAACAAGAGCAGGTGAAGGACCATTCAAACCATCATTAAACAATGTTTCTTTGAATGTGGCCAAATTTTGTTATACTGCAAAATTAGACGGATTCTTAATTGCCCATTGATAATCCACTGCTAATTGCAATGTATTATTTTATATTTATTTTATATATTATACAGTATATATAAATACACACAGAGACACACTTTTTTATTTTTTAACTAATTTTTTTTTAAAAATTTAACTGTTGTTTTTGATGACTTTATTTCTAATGCTGCCCTGTGACCATAATAAAAACCGATGGAGAAGAAGGCGGGTGCGGGAAGGGGGTGGCAGACGAGCAATTATGGTAGTTATTGAATTAGTTATATAATGTATGTTTATAATTGTATTTGTATTGTTTAAAATTAAAAAAACTTTTAAAATTAAAAAAAAAACCGATGGGTAAGCCAAAGGCCATGAACGGAGGACTTCCCCCCCCCCGGGGCCCTCTTGAACCCCGTGTCTAACATGGAGCCCCCCCCTTTTCTCTCCAGGTACCTCTTCGCCGTGATGCCGAACGGCTTGGCCAACCAGGCCAACAACCCCGAAGTGGAAGTCGACACTTCGAAGCCGGACCTGGTGATCCGCCGGCAAATCATGTCCCTCCGGGTGATGATCAGCAAGCTGAAGAACGCCTACAACGGCAACGATGTGGACTTCATTGACATCAGTAAGGGGACGTCGCTGTCCGAACAGATCTCGATCTGCTGGGCGAAGGCACGAAGGCCTTGGGGGCCCCGGGAGGCCCTTTCCCTCAAAATGGGGCCCTGGGCAGAGGAGGAGAGCAGTGGGCAGGGGGTCCTGGGCCCCTCCCTCCAGCTCGGATTTCCCTGCTTTGATTGTTTGAGAAATCTTTCTGCTGGAGAACAGAATGAATTGGAGCATCCACATGATTTAACACAAAGAAAGGGAGAATGCACAGCTAGTCCTCGACTTACGACCGCAATTGAGCACCAAGTCTCTGTTGTTAAGTTGAAGCATTGGTTAGGTGAGTTTTGCCCCATTTTACGACCTTTCTGGCCACAGCTGTTACAAGCGGATCCCTGCAGCTGTTAGTGACACGGTTGTTAAGCGAACCCAGCTTCCCCATTGTCAGAAGGTCGCAAAAGGGGATCACATGGCCCTCCCTCAGGACACTGTGCCACGGTCATAAGTGTGAGTCAGTTGCCAAGTGTTTGAATTTTGACCGTGTGACCACGGGGATGCTGCAACGGACGTAAATGTAAAAAGTCCTAAGTCACTTTTCTGGCGCCCTTGTAACTTCGAACGGTCACTAAACAAACCGTTGTAAGTTGAGGACTACCTGTAACGTTGTTTCCAAGGAGGCTTCAGGGCCCTAAAAGAATCCCTAAGTTTTCTTGGAAAATAAAAACGCTAAATGGCAATAATGACCAGGGTGTCTCTCCCAGAGATCGGCTCAGCCTTCAAAAAAAACCAAACTTGTTTCTGCTTTCTGTGACCCTCTGGGTCACCGCCAGAACTCTGTAAATGAGTCATAAATACCTTTTTTTGGGGGGGGGGGTCTGTTCTAACTTTGAAGGGTCACTAAAGAAGTGGTCCCTAAGCGAGGGCCACCCTTCGCCATCGTCTGCAGCTGTCCATCGTCTTCAGACTAGTCCAGTGTTTCTCAACCTTGGCTGCTTGAAGAGAGTTGGACTTCAACTCCCAGAATTCAAAGCGGGCTGGGGAATTCTGGGAGTTGAAGTCTCCACCCCTTTTCAAGCGGCCACAGTTTTCTGGATTAGTTTGATACCTGTCTCATTTCGGTGTCTGAATCCACAAGGGGGAGGCAGGTCAGGAACAGGAGGAGAAATCTCAGGCAGTTGGTTGAACCTTTAAAAAATGGATTATTTCTTCCTATTTCCCCCCCTCCTCCTCCTTTTCCTCCTCCCAAGGTGACGAAAGCAGCGGAGAAGGCAGCGGAAGCGGGTGCGAATTGCACCAATGTTCTCCCGAACTGGTGCTGAACACCACCGAAGTCACACAGAACGTCAACAAAATAGATAAAAAAATGACTGATTCGGCCAGCAGTTTCGGCCCATCGGAATCCCTTCTCCTTTTAAGCCTCGTCTTCTTCTTCCTTGTGGGTCAAAGACAATGGAGATAACTACGCCTGCTCCTCCTTTTATTATTATTTTTTTTAAACCGTTGGAGGCGGGGAAAAGGACTTTAAAAAAAAAAAGTGCCAAGGGACCGGATTTCACATTTATGCCATCTAGAGACTTTTTTGGGGAAGGGTTCAAAAGGTTCCTTTGTAAGTTAAACGGAAAAACCATGTACAGGTTTTTTTTTAAAGAAAAAAACTCTTGTTGCCACTGGTTTTAAATCTTTTTTTTTCCTCTGCCCTGTTTTCAGGCTTTGGAAAGGGGTGTGTGAAATCACAGAACTGTTTGGACCAGTTAATCCGATCTGCTGACTGAGAAACCACAATAAATGTGGTAAACCAAGTGTGTATATACAGGCCTGTCCTTAGCTCTGGTGTGTGTTGTTGTTTTAAATCAGGCTTCCCCCCCCCCCCTTATCACTCTTTTCCTTTAATTTTATTTTAGCTTTTTTTTAAAAAAAGAGAAATCAACTGTTCTAGATTGGTATGTTTAAAGGATGATTTCTTTCCTGAAATAGGAAATGTATCTGTACAGAAGCAGAAGGAATTTTAAAAGATTGATTGTATTTTAATAGGCAAAGAGAGGAAGTTGTTTAAAAAAACAACATAAAACACACTCTTTTGTCCAGATTGTACATGGGGCAGGTGCTTCTTTAGAAGGAGGAGGTGTGGATTTTTGAGAAGAGTTGGTTTAATGTAGGTCTCCCTCATCCCGAAGGATACGGTCAATCTGGACGTAGAATTGGAAAGGGGGGGTTGCAGGTGTGACCTCAAGGGGGACAAAGTCAAAATGTCAGTCCCAACATGTCAAAAAGTTAGGGATTTGATTGCATCGTGGTGGCTGCCATTTTGACTACGGATGTCCCGGGGAGGGGAGAGGGGTTAGTTTGGCTCAGAAAGAGAAGAGCCCGGGAGCACCTTTGGGCTGGATCTGAAGGACCAGTTGAACCAGTCAGACGCTTTTCTTTTAGTGGTGGGTTCTTCCTGGGCCATAAATGTTGGTAGAATTCCTTCCACGGTCCTTGTTAGTGGAATGGTGGACCGCCGGGTCCAGGCACAGCATTGTGTTCAATTTGGAAACACTCTTTTGAGATCCGGGAGAGGTTGAAAGAGGACATGGAGAGAAAGCAAGGCTACCTCTCAAAGTTACGGTCCACCCGGAGCTTCCCATGGCTGGAATGGCCCAAAAGAGAGCATGACATGGTTCCAAAAGAACATCATGTGGGGGCTGTAGGAAGGCCCCAAACCAGTCTAGATCTTTGTCCCACGTTTGAACAGGGTTGGCATCCTGCATCTAGGTTTCCCAAAATTGTTGCTGGAGAATGTTTTTTGTTCTTGCAGTTCGGCATTCTTTTATCTTTCCTCCATTCCCATTTTTAGCTTCAGCGCACAGCACAAAGTTCCTAAGCCTGGTCTTGTGAGGGAACTTTAGGTCAATCTGGAAGACCTTCGGTTGAGTTTTAACAATAAACCGCTCCCCCAGGCATAATCTTTCCAGAAGTGACCTGTTGATTTATTAAAATACCCTCTTGCTAAATGAGGCAGAATTTAGGCTGAATCTTTGCCGTTCTTTTCTCCCCAAACGTATATAAAGACATAAAGCCCACAGAAGGAATGTACGTGTGTGCATGGCGCGAGTGTGTGTGTGTGTATTGTAAACAGCTGAAATTCTTCTCCATCGTCCTCTTTCTCAAAAGAATGTCCTGATTGCTGCAGAAACTACCTCATTCCTCAGGAATTTCCTTTTTAGCTCCCCCCCCCCAAAAGGCGATGAGTTACACCCTACGGACCCGTCTTGGATTGCTTTTCATGGAGAGGAATTGGGTTGAGCCCGGCTGTTTGGTGTTCAGATCTGGTCCCTAACAAAGAGATTTTCAGATCATCGTTTTTTCTTCTTCTGTTCTTTTCCAAGGATTTCTGTGGCCCTCCGATGAATTCCTCCTGGCCGCGTTTTCTTTCTGTTATCCTTCCAGGAACTTCTAGAGATTAACGTGTTCTGGATTAACGCCAGCCAGCCCCAAAAGCGGGAATCTCTTGGGCCTGAATGTTGACATGGGTTTTTAGAGAATACAGGTAGTCCATGACTTAAGTCCACAGCTGAGCCCAAAATTTCTGTCGCTAAACGAGACATTTGTTAAGGGAGTTTTGCCCCATTTTATGACCTGTCTCGCCACGGTTGTTAAGTGAATCCGGCTTCCCCATTGACTTTCTTCTCAGAAGGTTGCAAAAGGGGATCACGTGACCCCAGGACGCTGCGACCGTCATAAATAGGAGTCAGTTGCCGTTTTGAACACCTGATCATGGGGGTGCTGCAAAGGTCGTAAGTGTGAAAAACGGTCACTAAATGAACTGTTCAGTGCCATTGTAACTTTGAACGGTCACTAAATGAACTGTTGTAAGTCGGGGACTGCCTGTACTTGTGAGATTGTGATCAGATTGTGATCAGCGGGAAGAGTTGGAAGCTCTAAGACGAGTGTCGCGCAGGATAAAAGTGTTGTGGGGAGAATCTGACCATTGGTGGGGCAGACGAGGGCTGTGGGGGCGATTCCCACATGCAGTCTATCGCTTGGCAATTTTAGCATAATGTGTGGACGCGCTAAGAGCAATGCAGCACCACCGCAAGCTTGCAGGAGACTCGGAGGCAAAGCAGTCAATTACATATATTTAAACTGAATGTACTTAAAGTACCATCCATGGCCAGGAATAGCTTCTCCCCCCCCCCCCAAACTTTCACAAAAACAGCCTTTCCCCTTAGGGCGCTTTTCCTAAACTTTCTCTTCTTTAGCGTTTGTTGGCAGCATCAAGCATGGAAAAGATGAACTCCATTGTAGGCGTGGTTGGTTTCCAAACTCTGCTTCCTGGAAACCAAAAGATCTCCTGCTCCTCCTCCTCCTCCTCCTCCTCCTCCTCCTCCTAGCCAACCTCTTGAGAACTGCTTGCTAGCTCTCTGCCCCAAAATTTCCCAATCTCGGCGTCTTTAAGAGGCCTTGACTTCAACTCCCAGAATTCCCCAGCCAGCATGGGGAGTTGATGTCCAGACCTCTTAAGGTCGCCACGGTTGGGAAACTTTGGGGCAGAGAGCTAGAAGTTGGCTTGGTGGGCCAACCAGGCTGACCAAGCGATGCTGTGAAATGAAGAAGTCCTGGTCCTGGCAAACGGGGGTACGCTGGTACCCGCTGGTTTTCTGCTGCTCCAAACTCTTAAGTGTTGGGACTGGATCTCTAAATTGCTTTGGGATGGGCTGCGTATCTGGCGCCCGTCGCAGGAAACATCTGCAGGGTGGTTCTTGGTGACGCGTCTTCGCACGTGTTACTGTTTTGTGCTGTCTTGTGCAATGTTAGGAAAGGAAGGGGGGGGGTATTTAAGGAGAGCTGGCATTGCCCCTGGAAGGATGGGCACGGAGTCAGTCTTTTCAAGTGGCAAAGCCCTTCCCTCTGATTCCAAGCCGAAGGAATAGTTTCAAAGCTGCGTCTTTTTTATTTATTTATCTCCTTGAACCGGATGTCCAAGAGAAGCAGAGATCCTGTAACCTGAACTGTTGTGTATCCACAAAGAAGACTGCAGCTTTTTATAGGGAGCAGAAGAGGGGGAAAAATAGCCTATCAGATACATCTTTCTCTTGGGAAAGGGGATTGATTTAATCACACATGCATTTATATTTCTGCAGCTCTAAAATAGGGTGGATTTTCCTCGCATTGAGATTGCCCCCCCCCAAACTGTGGTCGCAGGCATCATTTTAGCAGATTTTTTCTTCTTTAAAAGAAGTTCCTTCTTTAAAAAGGAGCTAAGTTGTGGGAAATGTCCCATTCCAGGGCAGGCTACAACTTTGTTGCTGTTGGCTGTAATCAAGGCCAGTGAGCCTCGTATGCAGATAGGATAGCAAGATTTCTTCTGTCTGGATCCTTTGGGACATTTTGGAAAGATTTTAAGGATGCTGAGCGGAGGTTCTTCTTCACAAGAAGGAGCAGATGGAAACTAATCAAGGACAGAAGCAACCAAGAAATAAGGAGAAATTTCCTGACAGTGAGAACAATCAACCAGTGGAACGGCTTGCCTCCAGAAGTTGTGGGTGCTCCATCATTGGAGATTTTTAAGAAGAGACTGGAGAGCCATTTGTCTGAAATGGTATAGGGCTTCCTGCCTGAGCAGGGGGTTGGACTAGAAGACCTCCAAGGTCCCTTCCAACTCTGTTATACTATTATTCTGTTCTTTTCAATATCCGAAGATTAGAAGGCACCAGAGTGGGGCTAAATCTTTCTCCGTGGAAGAGGTCCACCCCTGGCCACCCTTGGTTTCTCCAGCATTTCTGCTTAAGTGTCCATAAGGGGCAACTTCTTATTTTCTCAGTTTAGGCTGAGCAAACTTTTGAATCCGCCTCTCCCCCCCAGTGTTTTGTGTTCTGCATCCACTGCATTTTAAGCAGATGTGCAGAAGGCAGACCGTTCTTTTATTTCTGTGATGGTGGCACGGTATAATTTTGCTAAGATTTTGCCAGCGAGGGCTGAGATGGCAGCCCTTGACCTGATACTTTTCTGAAAGTCTGGGACCACTCAGCCAGTGCCTTGGTGTGACATTTCAGTAGACACTCCTGTATATTTTAAAAAAGTTATTTTTAAGAACGAGGGCTAAAATCTATAGTTTCTCCTAACCAAAACAAAACTCCACATCTGAAGTTCTACTTTCTTCCACAAAACCCCCTGATGGTGCCCAGTCCAGAAGATGGGAGTAGGCCGGCCTAGGTTTCAACCACAGGTTTCTTGGAATAAGTCAGAAGCTGAACCCCAGTGAAGGTTGGTGGTGCAAGCAAAGATAATCCTCCTGTTTTGGCTGACTCTGCAGTTCCCAAAATACTTCGGTCCCCGTCTCCCTCCATCTGGGTTGTGGTTGCCGCTTCACAGAGGGCACTGGAAGGAATTGGGTGACATACATTCTGAGCGTGCAGGAAAGCCGACGCGTCTGGTTTCTTGCATGGCGACGTGGATGAGAGCCCAGGCTGTGCCACAAAGGAGTCCAGCTAAACCGATGTCGTAGCCTTGCCCTCTTCCTGGAGACGGGGTTGAGCCGCGATGGGCTGGCTCAGCCCTTTTGACGGTCTTGAGGTTGGAGCGAAGGAACACCTGGCTGCCTGTATGTTGCATTTCTTCAAGGTTTTTCTCCTAGTCAGCTTCAAACTTCAGCTGTGAAGTCTGGAGAAGCCTTCTTGGGGGAGAATGTTGGAATTTTCATCAGTTTAATTTAATTCTCAATCATCCAGGTCAAAATTGCTAAAAGGCAACTGGGATTTCTTGGTTTTTTTCTTTTGAAAACGTTTTGCTTCTCATCCAACAAGCTTCTTGAATGAG